GGAGCGCTCCCGGCTTCCACAGACAGCGAGGGCGGGGAGCGGCCAATTCCCGGCGGGAATCCGCATTCCCGAATTTCTGCCCGCAGGAATTGCGGGAATTGCCGGCGGGAATCAGAATTCCCGAATTCCTGCCCGTATTTGCTGGGAATTCTTAGTGGGAATCAGCATTCCCACGTTCCTGCCCGCAGGTGGCTGCAATTCCCGGTGGAAATCGGCATTCCTGAATTTCTGCCCGCAGGAATTGCAGGAATTCCCGGTGGGAATCAGAATTCCCAAATTTCTGCCCGCAGGTGCCGGGAACTCCTGGCTGGAATTGGCATTCCGAAATTTCTGCCCGCAGGAATTGCGGGAATTCCCAGCAGGAATCGGCATTCCCGAATTTCTGCCCACAGGAATTGCGGGAATACCGGGCGGGAATCGGCATTCCCCAATTCCCGGTGGCATTCCCGCATTCCTGCCCGCAGGGGTCTTGGGCTCTGTGCCAGCGTCTCTGAGCCCCCTGGCAGGGGTTGTGGCAATCCAGGACAGACAGAGGGATGTCCTGAATTCCGACAGGATTGTACAGTTTCGTGTCCAAAAAAATGATTAAATGGATGATTTTTAACCCATCTGAGCTGTGGGTGCTGTCAGGGGACCCCAGACGGGTGCTGAGCCCCCAAGGAGGGGACACTGCTGGCTGGGACACTGTAACGTGGTGACAAGCTGCCCAAAATACACCAAACTGCCCCCAAACTGTGCCCAAATCAGGGCAGGACCCCCTCCCCCACCACCACCACCCCGAATCTTCCCAATTTCCCCGCTTTCACACGTCTGAGAGATGATGACATCAGTAGTGACATCACTGAACCCTCCAGGACCGGCCACCCCCCAGGCTGTGCCCACATCAGGGCAGACCCACCAATTTGCCCATTCCCAGTGATTTTTGTCCCAGAGAATGTGACATCAGCAGTGACATCACAGAGAGCCCAGGGGCTGAGCACATCCCCCTAATTTGCTAATTTCCACTGATTATTGACACAGGGAGGAGATGATGCAGCAGTGACATCACAGAGCCAATCACCAGGCACTTACACGCCGCGGGGATGACATCAGCAGTGACGTCATACACCCCATAACACCCTCCTAGCTATTGAATTTTGTGGTTTTGACATAAGGGAATGACGTAGCAGTGATGTCACAGAGCCAATTACCAGGCACTTACACACCAAGGGGATGATGTCAGCAGTGATACCATACACCCAATAATATCTCCTAACTATTGAATTTCACTTGCTTTAATATGGGGGAATGATGTCAGCAGTGACATCATACAACCCATAACATCCTCCTAGCTATTGAATTTCGCTGGTTTTGATGTAAGGGAATGACGTCAGTGACAGCAGTGACATCACAAAACCGATTACCAGCCACCTCATACAGTACACAGATGACATCATCCACAACACTTTTATAGCTCTTCAATTTTTCTGTTCTTGACACCATAAGTGTAAAAAATGACGTCAGGGCGACGTCAGGACCCCCCCGGCGGTCAGATGGGATTGTGCAATGTCGTAACGTAGGGCGCACACGTCACGCAGCCGCGTGCCACTCCCATTCATCATTTCCATGAACCGGAAGGATCGCCGACAGGGCCGCCGCGCCCGAACCTACTGCTGCGCCACTGCTCTCCGGATCATGGCGACATCACTGCCTTACTCAGCTCTCCCCGATTTTTCGTTTACTCCCTTTGAGCTGTTCTTTCTGTCCCTTTTGTTCCCGTTTTTTCCGCTCCCTACCGCCGCACGGCCGCCCTGCCGCGCTCCGCCGTCTGAAATTAGCTATGCTAATTTATGCGCACAAACCACGCCCGCCCCGCCATCGGCTTTACGGCAAGCGAGGGGTTTTGCGACAGTTCGCGTGCGTGGTGCGGGTGGCGGCAGCGCCGCCGTGACGGGACCGGGGGTGCTCGGGTGTCTGTGAGGGATCCTGGGGTGCTCAGGGATCTGTGAGGAGATTCCGGGGGTCTAAGAGGAAATCCCGGGGTGCTCGGGGGTCTCTGAGGGATCCCAGGGGTCTCTGAGAGATCCTGGGGTGCTCGGGGGAGTCTGTGAGGAGATCCCGGGTTGCGCGGGGGTCTCTGAGAGATCTTGGGGGTGCTCGGGGGTCTCTGAGGGGGTTCTGGGGGTGCTCAGGGGTCTCTGAGAGATCCTGGGGATCTCTGAGGGAGTCCCCCGG